CAAAACATTAGCTTGTCTGTGCTCCTGCCCAGCGCCTGGGGACAAGTTACATCTCAAGGAGACAACTCAGTGAATATTCTCCAGATTTCCTTCCAGGCCCCCTGACTGAGGCGACTTCTCTGTGGCATTCGGCTGTGGAGGGGTTCTGTGCCATTTAATCCGCACCCCATCCATCCCCTGCACCATAAAGGGGCAGCTGTTGGCCTTACTGGAAGAAAAAGACCAGACCTCCAGTTAAGTCCTATGGAGATAATAGACTTAGGGGCCAATTTTGATCAGGGGAACGCTGAGAGTGGAAAGGTTAATTGCTACTCTGTGTTGCTGGATTGATCAAATACCCCCCCCCCCCCGCTTCACACAGGCATCCTGCCCCTGAGTTTAAATAGTTTTTTAAAGTTCCAATTAATGTCCAGTTTCTGCCGCCCCCTCTGTTTCTGCCCTTGGTCAGCCTTTCTCTTTTCCTGTTTGTGAAAAAGAACTGGGTGCTGGAGATTGGAATGGAGGGCCTTTTTAGAGAGATAAAACAGAGGAGGAGGAAGGGGCCAGTAAAGCCATCGGTCCAGCCCACTGTGCAAGGCAGGGCTCCAAGGTAAAGCATCTCTACCCGACGGCTGCCCGGCTGCATCTTGGATGCCTCCAGCATGGGAGAGTCCACGACCTCCCCAGGACTCTGGTTCCAGTGTCATATTGCTCGGACAGCCCTCCTGATGCTCAGCCCAAGTCTGCTTCCTGTTGTTTGAACTGGCTACTCTGTGGGACGATGGGGAAGAGATCTGAGCCCTCTTCTGTGGGACGACAGAATTTTATAGTTAAGCTGTAGAATTCACTTCCACAAGACGTGATGGAAGTGAAGATCTGGCTGGCTTTAAAGGGGTCAGGACAAATCCATGAAGGAGGAGGCTTATCAGCGGCCACCAGCCCTGATGGTCCTGGGCTTCCTCCAGGATCTGAGGCAGTGTGCCTATGCACACCAGTTGCTGGGGAATGTGGGCAGGGGGGCTCTGTCGCCTGCATTGGGTCTCCTGTTGGCCGTGGGATGAACAGGCACGCAGTCTGGATGGGCCCCGGTCCAACCCAGCAGGGCTCTTTCTGTGTTCTTCCATTCGCAGCCTTCCCTGGGTCACGTACCTGGAGGGCTCTTGTGCTCTGCCATTTATTTATGGCCCCACGACAAAGCTTCTGCCATGGGGAGGCAGCTCATGCTTAGCTCTGGGCACTATTGCATGTTTAGCACCGAGGGGGGAAGGTGACTGGGGGGGGGGGGTCTTGGCTCGCCAAGCTTGCTTTCGATGCAGCATGATTTTAGGGAGAGGGTGGGGGCAGTGTTGGATGTGCTGCTCGGCCAGGAAAAAGTCTTGGGTCGGCATGCCAGGAATGCAGTGGCGGGGTGGTCTAGCGGACCGGGCCAGGACCCCCATTTAGACTGATGTTCCACCTCTGGATGTGGTGTAACCTCCAGATGCATTGGAGTGCAATTCCTATCATTCCCAGCCACTTTGGGCGCATGGGCTTGGGGTGGGGCATAGGGTAGAACCAGTACTGGGGAAAACCAAGTTTGAATGCCACCTCAATTATGCAACTGAGATGGATGACCATAGCTGCCCCCCCTCAGCCTAACCTACCTCACAGGACTGTTGTGAAGATAAAGGTGGAGATGCCCATATGTAGCATTCTGATCACATTTGGCCATGCTGGCTGGGAATGATGGAAGTTGTAGTCCAGCGCATCTGGAGGGCACCGGCTTGGGGAAGGCTGTTCTAAAGTGCTGCAGGGACTGAGGTCAGTATGCATAAAATTCCCACTGAAGAGCAGCAGCTCCAGCTTTATGATGGGTTTGCTCATTTGGGATTCACTAAAACCACAGTAGAGCCCAGATTTCAAATGCATTTACAGAGTTCTTAAAAAGAGTTTCTGGTGAAATAATGACCTCTTGTGGCTGAGTTCTTTATTTTCAGTATTCATATGCCCCACTTTCTACCATATATTCAAGGCAATGTAACAAATATTAAAAAGAAAAAAAAGAACATGAACAAAATTGAGCAAACTAAGCAGCAATTCTTGAAAAGACTTAAAGGACTAAAAATAGTTGTGGGCATAAAACCTTCTAAGGAAGATGATCTCAATTAAAAGTCAATAAAACAGACATTGCTAAAAGTCGTGTTAAGACAGGAAAAAAGCACCATAAAATGCCTGGAGCGGTGAACTGGGATCGGTTTCTTTGACCAGCAGAATCACTCTATATCACCTTGTCTTGCACACAGTTGGTCCATGCAGGAGGGATATGAGCACCTCAAGGGATGGAGGTTTTAAACCCCCAATTCCTGTTGCTACACTGCAAGAAAATGCAGGGCCCACGGATGTGGTTGTTGGAAGCCTGGAGTTGTCTCTGCAATTCTCAGGCTGGCCTACCTCACAGGGTTGCTGTGCAGCAGGGAAGTGGTATCATTTGATGCTTACTATCCCAGCCTCCTTGGGAAAAGGGTCAGCTTGGAAAGCCTCGTTATTTAGGGAGAAACATCACTAATAATATAGAACAGTATTAATAGTCATTAATAACAATAAGCATAGACTATAAGACTCAGCAATGCCTTATCGTTCTGTGCTCTGCTTAGCAAACGAAATCAGGAGCCGAAAATCCCAGACGGGAGGTGGGTCCAGCCCCTGTTGGGCCTGGTATCCCACAGCTCTCATTCCCAGTTACCTTGCCCTGTTGTGGGGGTGGAGGAAGAGACATATGCCATTCTGTGGACTTGCTGGCACAACTGTGGTCCTGATTCGGGAGGCTTTCTGGGCTCCCCCTTGCACCATGGGCCGTGGATCCAGTTCTTTGCTTTTCTTGGTAACATGCCGTCTCCAGTGTTCCTGGGTCACTACCATCGTTAGCAGATTATTACATGAGCCCTTCCAGGGCCGCATGCCTTCCTCCGCTGCCATCCCCATCCTTCGGGGCCATCATCCATTTTGCCTGCCATTCTTTCGCTCCAGCATCCATTCGTCGGCTCAGCATCAGCGTCTTTGGCATACTCTTTTTCATGCCTACAATTCTGTGTTAGTGCTGATGCTGCTCAGCAGGAAATCCACCTGCCCCGTGGCCATGCGCTTCTTCCCCAACGGGAGCCAATCCGGGGTTGGTCCAGTTCCCTTTCTGCTGGCTGGCTGGATAAACGGAGTGGCGCAGCCCATAGAAACATAGAAAACAGAGCTAGTCAGAAGGGTCTCCCAGGCCATCTAGTCTGACCTCCGGCACCAGCCGGCTCCGCTCACGACATGCCCACCATGTGCACGTCCAGCCTATCCTTGAACACCTGCACCGATGGGGCCTCAACCACCTCCCGGGGAAGCCCATTCCACACCCTCGGGGTCCCAACTGTCAAGAAGTGCTTCCTGGCATCCAAATGGAACATGGGTTCCCTGAGCTTTGCTCCATTGGAGCACGTCCTGCCTTTCTCTGCAGGGGAGAACAGGTCTCTACCCACCTCCATGTGACACCCCCTCACATACCTGTATGTCGCCAACAGATCCCCTCAGAGTCTCCTCCAGGCTGAAGAGACCCAGTTCCCTCAGCCTCGCCTCATATGGCATACGGCCGTATGAGGCCTGGTGCCCGTTCCTCCCATTCCTCCTGGAATGCCCACGGCCAGGCTCTCTGGCCAGGAGAGTCAGCAGCTTTGGTTGTGCTCAGTGAATGCCAAACAACATCTGCTGCCTGTGCACATTTGCCTTCTGGAAGCAGCAGCCCCTCTGTCAGCCCGACCCTCCTGCATTCCAGTGAGGGACGGGAGGGATTGGGCTGAGTCAGCCCCAGTGCTGCTGTCGCGGGTGCCTAGGAAAGGTTCGTGGAGGGGCCACCCAGCAGAGGAGAGACGAGTGTGGCAAAAACAGCTCCCAGGGCGTGCAGGTAGGAAAGACGGGTGGTCCCCCCAAGCGAGCAGGCAGAGAGAGGGAAGCAGGGCTGGAGGTGGGGCAGGGCATCTGGGGCGTAATGCCCCCTGGATATGGATAGCAGAAGCCCTCTGGATACTGCTGGGCTTTCCCATGAAAACACCCCTTGACTTTAGGGTGCTGATATGCTCAAGAAAGCTGGGTGCCTTTGCAATTCCAGAGGACTCGTATGGTGTGCTGGATGCTGGCAGGGTGCAAGCAAGCGGAGGAACCGGGGCTCCCATCCCCATTCTGAGGAACACAGGAAAGAGCCCTGTGCAATTGCGCAGAACGGGTGGCCGTCTAGCTGCATACTGCCCACCTCACACACCGACTGGCAGCTCCCTGCCAGAGGCTCAGAGGGCCCTCTTGCCCCCCGGCTCGACCGAGGGGTGTCAGCTGTGAACTGCGGCATGCAGACGGTGGCTGACCACTGAACCACAGCTCTTATGCCTCAGAGCTCGGGCTCTGTCGCCGTCCTTCAGCTTGGCCTGCCTCACAGGATTGTTGTGAGGGTAAAATCGGGGTGGAGGTGCCTCTCGGGGAACCTGGGGGCTGCTGAAAGCTCGCATACGATGCATGCATTGCACGGGAGCCCACGTGATGGACACAGCGGCCATAGAGGGTTGGACAGATGCACCGTCTTGTCACAGACTGGGGAAAACCCTTAAAAGGGTCATTTATCGCTTTACTATTTAGCTTATTGTTATACTTTCATCCCAGTTGTTTAATTCACAACCCTAAACGTAACCCTGCTCGTCCACCTGCCAGGAAGCTCCTGGGGTGCCCGTGGGCCAGGCACTCACTCTCACCCCAACCCTCCTCACGGGGTAGCGGGAAGGACAGAGCGGAGCATGTGAGCGACCTGGGGCTCCTTGCAGGAGGGCGAGAGGCAGAGTCCGAATACAATAATAATTGCACGGATCAGTCGGTCTGTGCTACTTCTTTCTCTCACGGCCACAATAGCTTTTCCTTTACAGAAATCCGAGCGGCACCCAGGCCCTGCCGTTCTCCAGCCGCTGAGCCCACCGCCCAACCCGTTCGTCGTCCTTCTGCGGCCTCCTCGGGAGTCAGCGAGGATGTACAGCTTCGTGGGGGGAGGCTTGTTCTGTGCCTTGGTGGGGAACATTCTCCTGGTGGTGTCCACTGTGACTGACTACTGGATGCAGCACTGGCTGGCCGGCAGCTTCACTCACCAGGGGCTCTGGCGGCGCTGCTTCTCCGGGAAATGCTACATGCAGATAGAGAGCACTGGTAAGAGGTGGCTCTGCGTGGGCTGGGCTTCAGCTCCCATTGTCCCCAGCTAGCATGGTGGAGTTGCAGCCCAACACGTCTGGGAGCCAGAAGGCAGGAAGGCTTGCCGGTGCCTGTGGGATGAGAAGACAGAACCGCTGCATGTTCCTGCTCCAGGCGGAGTCGTTTCGTTGGCCAGAGTTCGAAGAACAGTTTGGGTCGATGGCAGCTTTCCATGAGGGTTGCAGTGTTAGTTGGTTAGATTAAATCAGAATTGAGCCTCTTTCAGCTCAGGGGGCAACTTCCGTTCTGGAGAAACACTTGGGTGCTTCATTGCAGTGATGGGCAGGGCTTATTGCAAAAAGGGCGGGGCCAAAGGCTAAAGGGGAGGAGCCCAAAACTTCAGCTCATTTCGACTCCAGTAGTAAAGCCTAAGGGGAATCTTTTAGAAGCTGGAACTAGGCGGGTGGGGAATAGTACACAAGCCAGGAAACCACCAGTGGTTGGAGGGAAGGGGGGTGGGGGGAGGGACATGGCCAGGAGAGACAGATTTGGCCTCCAGTTCTTAGTTTCTGCACCCCTGATGACAGGTGTGTCCCAATTAATTAGGTGGAAATGCAGATTATAAAAACTGGAGCAATTACAAAATGGACAGATGGCAAGCATCATCCAGAAAGAGGCCTTCCCTGCAAGGGGGTTCTTTGAAGGCGATGCTACACAGCACATGTGAGCAGCACAGAAGAACAGAGCACTGCTTGCTTTGGAATGAAATTAGTCCAGATTTCTTTAGCTGGGAGATGGCCTGGGATGATGGATTGATTGATCAGGAATATTTTTTATCCCAGTCTGATGATGATGTTGATGATACAATAATAATAATAATAATTCCCAGAGGAGCTTACAAAGTTTAGTAAATAAAACAGTCCCTGGTCTCAGGCTTACAGCTAAAACGACACAACAGGACATGAAATGGGATTAGGTATTCATTCTTCATTCAACCAGACCCTCTACATGATTAGGGCAAAAGAGCAGGACCCCCTGCATTCACTCCTGCATAACGAGCGGCTGCCACGCATTCCTGTGGCCCAGCCGCTTCCTTGCAGGGGTGAGCAGGCAATCTGTCCACACCTGCCAGGTGTGACAAGCATCTCGCTCAGCGGGACAGCAGCCTGATGCCCTCCGGGTATCCTGGACAGCAGTTCACATCACCCCAACCACTGCCCATGCTCACTGGGGCTGATGGGGGCTGTGGTCCAAGGCTTCTAGGGGGCACCAGGCTGCTAATCCCCCGAGCCAAATGCTCACTGAGCGTGTCGGTTGGGGTGCCCCCGGCAAGGGCAAGAGCTCAGCTAGCACCACCCCTGGTCGGGGTGAGGAGGGCTACTGCCAGGATGCCTGCCCGGTGTGGTGAGCGATGCCATCCCAGACGGATCTCACACCCTTCTCTTGCTTCGGCTCCCTCTGCTCTCAGTCCTCTTCCCTGTGGCCTACTGGAACGCGACGCGGGCCTTCATGATCGTGGCTGCCCTCTCGTGCTTCGCGGGCATCCTCACTGGCATCCTCTCCTTCGCCCAGCTGGCCACGTTCCAGCGCCTCAGCAGGTCCTTTGCTGCTGGCGTCCTCTTTTTCATTTCCAGTAAGTGCCTTTCCTCTTCCTAGTGGGGCCCCTCTCAAAGCCCTGGGATGCAAGCCATGCAGGCACCCCGAAGCCACCTCTGGGTGCTTTGCAGTGGCTGAAGGGCTCAGAGAAAGAAGACTGCAGAAAGTTAAGGCAGGAGGAGAAGGAAAGGAGGCGGACGTCTACCTAGGAGAAGGCTCGGTTCCATCAAGGAATCACAGGGGCTGAGCAGGACAGGACAGGCTTTGGGGGGCTTTCATTCATTGGGTCATCAGAACTTGGAGGTGACTTGCCAGCCCATCAAAGCGATATGCCAGGAGGATCGCTTGTTTCAGGTAGCTGGTTCCAGGTGTGAGGGGATCCTGGGTTGCGTCCCCTCTGTGGCTCCCACTAGTGAGGGCTGGCATTGGTCTTCCTTCCAGTGGTGGTCCTGCAGCCATCTGGTGTGCTCTCCCCCAGCCCGTGAGCCTGCCGGCTTACCTTGTGTCCAGTGTAACTCTTCTCTGTTGGCATCAGGTAAGCCAGCGAGCAAGAGCAGGAGGAGGCAGAGTACCCTTCAGCTGCTCACACAAACCTCCCACGCCCCATCTGGCATTCATGGGCTTCTCCCAGAGAGGCAGCCCAGCCTGGACCATGTGAGGACTGCAGCTTCCCCCCCTGGCTAAACTTGTGAGCAATTTCACAGGTAAGAGGCAGGTGGCCGGCCATCTCCACCGAATGCTTGTGAGCAGATCTACCTAGCACTGGCACTCCAATGATGAGCCAGGAGATGAGTGTCCTCAGGTACATGAAAGGCTTGCTCTCGGTTTCTTCACACTTGATTGCCAGTTCTTGTTGGACTCCAACTCTGCCCTTCCAGAAGTGTTTCCAGAATGCTTTCAGAAGTTTGGAAGGACAAATCCCAGAATTTCTGCCTAGCAACTACACTAGGTGGGGCTGTTGAAGTGCAAGTCCTGGGACACCAGGCAGGGGGAGTTGTCCTAGGTGCTAGTCCTGTCAGCCCGTAATTATTTCTCTCTGTTCCAAGCAACAGAAAGTTGTGATGGGGACACAAACAATCAAAAATTTTCTTAGCTAAATGCACCAACCTTTCATTTGCACTTGTGAAACCATCAAGCACAACCCCTAAGCCTGAGCACAAGCAGAGGGCATTTCCTCGAAAAATGCTTGCAACTTCCCTGCATGTGCATTTTTCTTCAAAGATTGCACAAATTTTAGAGGAAATTTCTTTCAAAACTGTGTATTTTTAAACTGTGGGTTTTCATGCTTTATTCAAGGAAGGAAAGAGTCACACCTTTGAAAAATACTCTGAGTTTTGCTTAATTTTCCCTTTCAATTGCATTCACAAGAAGAACCTGCTGGGCCAGATCAAAGTCCATCTGTGTCCAGGATGATGGGTGCCTGCCCATGTTCCCCAGCAGCCAGTGAGCATAGGCACATGACTTCTGATACTGGAGGTAGCACAGAACCATAGCTCAGTCTGCACAGGTTCGAACACTGGATGCGAGTGCTGCAGAAATCAAAGAAGAGAGGAGCACCAGGTGGAAGCCCGGAGGACCTGGGTGATGGTGAACACCACCTTTTGTCCATCTGTGCCAGGGCTCTCCCTCCTCTTGCTGACTGTGGACCCATGGCAGCTCTGATGGAAACCGTTTTCCTCTGCAGGGAAATCACCACCAGATGAGCAGAACATCTGACCTCAGACTAACAGGCCCTTTCTTGTGTTTCTCTCTCCCAGCAATATTCATCCTTCTAGCCATGGGAATTTACACTGGGATCACTGTCAACATCCTTGGCAAACGCTTTGGTGAATGGCGCTTCTCTTGGTCCTACATCTTGGGCTGGGTCGCTCTCCTGATGACCTTCTTTGCAGGTACCAGCTCCCTTTCCTCTCTCAAGGAACAAGGCCTATCCAAAGGAAGAGTGATTGCAGAAGCTCTGGGCCTTGGCAGGATGGGTCCTCTCCCAAAGTCAGTCGGATTCCAGCATGGCCCGCGGGAGGCCCACAGCAATGCAGCCGTGGTGTAGCTAAGCGGGTCTTGGTCTAGTTCAGTAACTCAGGGCACCCTGACCTGTCGGGCCTGGTGGACATGCTTGGTACTGGGAGAAAAGGGAATGGGCGTGATCACAGGAAGGATACATGCAACTGGTCTGGACATTTGTAGAAACGGTCACAAAGACGGGCCAGACTTATAAGCTGTTACAGACACAAGATGGAACAAGTTTCAGGATGGAATCTGGAGAACCTTGACCAGCTGGAAATTCATATTAGTGTCGCGATGACTATTGCTATGACTGGGCAACTGCCCCTTTCCCCTTATTGTCCAACCTGCAGGCATTTTTTACATGTGCGCTTATCGGATTCATGAGTGCCAGCGAAGGGCCGGGGCCTGCTAAAATACCACACCTCGCATGACTCCGCCATGTTTCGAACGCCCATCTGTGGCAGCGGAGGCAGGGCCTTTGTTGAGAACGCTCCCTCAAGAAATGTGGTATCATCCAGAAACAGAAAGTCGAGTGAGAAACACATCTCTTGATCTGTTACCGGTGTGGCATGGATTCAGAGAACAGAAGCTCAAAGCCCATGGTTTGTCTTTCAGCATAGCCATACACTTGCTGGGTGATTTGATCTTTCAGCCCCAACCCTGCTTTCTGTAAAATAGGAATCGTGATCTTGTCCTACCTTGCAGGGTTGTTCTACAGGTTATTGTAGGAGGATGCATTTGGAGTGCTTGGAGAAAGAGTGTTTGCAGAATGGGAGCCCCACTGCCCACTGTGCAGCCATTGAAAGTGTGCAATGTTACTCCATTAAAAAGGTGGAAACTGCCCCAGGGGGCTGTTGTTGTTGTTGTTGTTGCTGGTTTCACACCTTGCCTGTGGCCAATAAACCCAGGTCATTACGATGTCGTCCAATGGAAGAGAGGAACTGTTGGCCCTATGACTTCGAGGTACTGGAGGTCTTTTCATGCATTAGTAATATAATTAACAATGACAGCAGCAGCAGAAGCAGCACCAATATTGTATTTACATTGAAGGGATGAGTTATTTCTAAGTAGGCGTCTGTCCATGTACACTTGGCACATGCAAATCCTCTTTGGGCATAATGCGCACATGGCCACTTTAGCCGTAGGGATACTTTTCCCTTCAACGGCCTGTTGCAAACCTGTTTGGAAGCAAAGTAGCTTAGTCAATAGACCATATGCCGGCAGTCAGTTTGCTAACACAGCAATGGGAAACACTGTGCCTCATTCCCTGCAAAAGCCCATTCCCCAAAGGCAGGGAAAATTAGGAGCAATAATGAACCATTGGCAGAGCCTAGTAAATGGGGAATACCCTTGTGGATTCGATTTCCAATAGTTGCAACCTGAATTCCGGGAACTGTGGAAAACTTCCCAATAAATGTTTTTTCCTGCAGCAATTCCAGTAATTGGCCGTAGCCTCTTATGGTCCGAGTAAATCCCTGTTAGCAGCTCATGATGAAGCTCACAAGCGTCGCAAGAAAAGATCTTTCCATCTCTGGGTATGGCACACATGCCAATCCCAAGGAATGTTGGTGGGCAAGGTCTGCTCTGGGCGACTCCGGCTGACACACAAGGGAGCGGCTGCCAAAGAACACAACGGACATTTGGTCCTGCCAGGGAAATGCCGTGCTCAGGTGGGTGCCCGGCCCTCCTTAGCTGAAGATTCAATAAAAGAGAGGCCCATGAAATATCCTGTCTTGCAGAGAGGTCCCCAGGTGAGAAGCCGGGGCCTCCAGCAAGACGTGGAGAACAGGTGTCCGCCTCCTGCACTTCACTCACTCCTGACTTATCGGGAGAGGGAGGGGAGGGTTAAGGCCTGCCTTGCTGCGCTCTATTTATTTTTGTCCTGCTCAACAGCCAAAGCTCTCTGGGTACATCAGAAGAACTCAGGCTGGGGTCTGACTCTGTAGCCTCTCCCACACCTCTGGGCTGGAGCCCAGGTCCCCCGTGATGGCAGTCACTCTCCACATGACTCAACTGAATTGGAGCTCCCTCGTGTTTTGACCTTACTTTCGCCACACAGCCGCGTATTCAAGGGCAGACCCTTCCTGCCCATTGCACAAGGGTTAGGGGCCTCCCAAGCATGCCTGCCTTATCAGGGGGAAGTGCTTGGCCAGAAAGCGACTCATATCAGGGTGTTCAAGTGTGAGGAAAGGTGTCGGCTCTTCCCCTTGCCTCCCTTGCCATGGCGGAAGGCATCTTTTCCCATCTCTGGGGAACACAACTGTGAATGGTCAGAACCCTCCTGGATGGAAGGGGCTGAGAACATGATTGGTCAGAAGGCACATGGCCCAGGAGTGGCTGGAACCATCACGGTAGCCAAGGCAACCAGATTTCTTGCAGAAAGGGTAGCCATCTTCCATCCCCACCCTCCGTCGCAAAGATGCAAGTCCAAGTGGCAGAAAGGTGTGGCTGAGGGTGCAACTCTTGTGGGAGGGAGAACGCTTTGCCGGCCCCTCATTCCCAAGGTCTCTAGAAGATGGAGGACCATCCCAGGGAACCCAGGGGAGGGTGGGCTGTTTTCTACCTGCCCTGATGAGAACGTTTGCTATTAGCACAGCCTTCGTTTCCCTCTGGTGTCCCTCTGTTCTACCAAGCTCTGCTGGCAGTTGCCGTCCGATCCAGCGGAGCCTCCCCCACCTCCTCAGACTCCAGCCCTCTTACCTCCAAGCAACATGGCAGCCCAACACAAGCAGTGGGTCGCGGGCCCAAGAGGTCTGAAGGGGGGAAAGCAGCAAGGCAAGGCCAAATTAGAGGAACGGACGTGGGCTGGAAGCGAGTGCACTTCCACACTGGCTAAGCATGGTTCCTTACACTGGCTGGAGAAGAGGCTCTGTGAAGCAGCAACACCCAGCTTTCCTATCACATTTGTATGCCACTCCATAGCCAAAGGCTCTCTGGGCAGCCCACAGTGCAATATAAACTATGAATAAAATACAAATAAAATAGATAACAATAGCAAACCGCAAAGCATAGATAAATAGGATTAAGGTACAATATACATAGAACAGGAGGAAAAACACAATAAACTGTTATAATCACGCTTTCCTTTCCGTCGGAAGAGAAGAATATTCCAGGCATGCAGAGAGTTCTTTTTAGAACTTTATTGCAGTGAAGGGAGCAGAAAGGAATGGTTTCCTTCCCATTTTCCCGTTCACCTGAGCACATGTTCACACACCCCTTTTGAACCCTGCTCCCGGCCGCTTCTCCCTCCTCCTTTCCCCTCATTGCCTGGGTTACCGGGAGTTTGTCAATAAACAATCAGGAAGTATTTGGCCCTCCTGCCTACGTGCCTGTTTCCCCATACCTTGTGCTATCTGGTTTTGGCCCCTCCCCTCCTATGGGCTAAGTAATTTTCTTTGTTCTTTATTACCTTTTTAAATCTCTTTACTCCCTTGTTTCAACTCATCCTTTCACACCAGTGACAAGCAATAAAACAATACAACAGTAGCAAACCAAGCCTGATCTAAAAATAAATACTGCATTAAAAAGTCTTGACTTGGCACCAAAAGCAAGACAAAGTGTGTCAGTCAAACCTTCCTTGGAGGGGAATTCCAGAGAAGGCTGTTTTCCTCACCGATTCCCCACTCACCTCATTTGGGGAGGGGGGTCATGGCGAAGGGCCTCCCTTGGTGCCCTGAGTGGCCTGGTAGGGATATATGGAGACAGGCGCTCCTTTAGCTATCCTGATCCCAAGCCGTTTAAGGCTTTGTATGTTAGCATGAGCCCTTTGAACTAGGCCCGGGCAAGAACAGGCAGCCAATGCAATTGCCGGAGGACCAGCAACCATGCTGGTGTCTTGAATTCTCTAGGGCAGCCATGGGCAACCATGCTGCTGTGCCTTGAATTCTCCAGGGCGGCCATGGGCAACCATGCTGCTGTGCCTTGAATTCTCCAGGGCGGCCATCGGCAACCATGCTGCTCTGCCTTGAATTCTCTTGGGCGGCCATGGGCAACCATGCTGCTCTGTCTTGAATTAATTGAAGTGCTTGAACCATCTTCAAAGGCAGCCCTGTGTAGAGCACATTACAGTAATCCAGGCGAGAGGTTACCAGCACATGGATAACTGTGGCAAGGCTCCACTTGTCCAGGTAGGAACATAGCTGAAAAATCAGCATAAGCTGATAGAAGGTGCTCCTGGAGACCGAGGCCGCCTGAGAAGCGAGAGAGCGCTCAGGGCCCAGAAGCATCCCTAAGCTATGAACCTCATGCTTTAGGAGGAGCACAGTCCTGTCCAGGATTGGTTGTTATGGGATACATGTTCCTCCCAGCTGGAAAGCATGGTTTACACACTTAAGTTGTATCTGTTCCTCATAGTGTTGGGATCTGTGCGTGGGTCAAGCCTTTTATAACCCAAGAATCTCTTCTTCAATTTTGCATTATAAATTAGGGCTGCAATGTTACTTGATTAACTGAATGGATGGATCAATTGCTGTACAATGTATTGATTAAAAATAGAGCTATGATGAATCAGGGCATGCTCTCAAGCCAAGCTTTTGGTTCTAAAGCTCTCTCTGGCAAATCTTGGGTTAATTCACCCACAATCTGCTACAGCATATGCTCCTTGGAGGTTGTTTTATAATATACAAATCTGGATATTATAGATTAATCATGCATTATCACTTAACCTTCAAAGAGCTATTGGGTTAACTGTGGGTTGCTTAATCCATGAATAGCTCCTTATGTCTCAGCTTGAACATCACGAAACAACCTCCAATCAGGGCCAATTGGAAGTGGATTATGGAAAGTGGAAGTGGCTTGATGGACATGTACCGTAGTAAACCATTAACCCACAACTAGCTGCCTTTATGTGCAAACTGGGTCTAAGTTACCTGCCATGCTGCTGTTTTGGAGCCATCAGTTTCTCTCTGGAAAGCCCTTTCTAGGCCAAATTACTTGCATCATTAGTTTGGTTTAGAAAGCAGAAGACGGGTCTCCTTTAATAATATCCCAGGTAGCCATTCCTGCTGATAAGTAGCTCCAGTTTAGAAGGGTAAATGTGGTCAAAGATTGGTCCACACCTTTACATGTTAACTGTTTCTTTGTTATTTAAAATCATTTTAGGACATCTCAAATTAAGTGCCACCTCATACGAAAACACTGTAAGAACCATACTCACAAAAATTGCAGTCTACTGCTTATGTAAAAGCCTGCAAAAACAGGCAAACATTCCTGAAGATTTTCAAAGAAGGGGCCTGAAGAACACCCCCCCCCCACACACACACACACAGAAGCTAATTCCCCACAGAGGTGTGGGGCTACCACTGATAAGCCCCTCTCCCTCGTATTGGCCATGTATCAGTGCCCAGGCGAGCAAAGCTTCTGCAGAGCCTCAACCCATTTCAGACTTCAGATATCAAAAACAGCGCTTTAAGCGGAGCCCAGGGGTGCAGCTGGGGCAGCACCGGCAGCTCCTGAGCCCACTGGTGATGCTGCCTCCTGCAGCACCAGGAGCCTCGCTGCCTCTCCCAGCCTTGTTATGACGGCAGCGTCTCCTTCCGCACAGAGGATCTTCTGCCACCATCTCCCTCGGGAGCAGCACGAGCACCACGTCCTACCCCGACTTCCTGCTCTTGACACAGCCCTTGCGGATCAGCAGCGGGATCTGTGCCTTCAGCAGCTTGCTGCTGCACTTCGCCTCCCTGGGCACTTCCTTTTGGCTCCTGGAAACGACCCACAAAGGCCTGGCCCACAGCGGTCTCTGGCAGGTCTGCTTGCATCAAGAATGTAGGACCTATTGGTTTACTCTGCTCGGTAAGACATCTGCAGCCACTGCCGGCTACGTTTGTCAACACAAGGGTGGTTGCTAGTAATCTGAGCTATTTTTCCTTGAAAGGTCGAATTTTAATTACTTCTATTGTTTAAAACCCATTTAATATATTTCTATGCTGCTTTCCAGGGCAGGAGCCCTCCCAAGGCAACTTACAGCTATAAAATTAAGTACAATAATAGATATCTGGCTGATTTGAATATCCCCAAATTTAGGAAAGCTTTCCACAGGCCAGGTGCAATCCATTGCTTCAGGTATATTGGATGTTAGATTTAGAAGCGTTCCCTTCCAAGAATGGACTTGTCTCTGTGGGATGAGTGTGATGCAAACAGAAGGCCACACTGTGTTGTATTGCTCCCTTTACTGGGAATTGTGTCATTCCTGTTTTACAGTGTGCTCTTGGTAGATCTGATGCACACTATTTAAAGTCTCTACTGGTGGATCAGGAACCTCACGTTACCCCAAAGTGGCCGGCTTTTGTGTAGCTGCCACAAATCACTACAAATGAATGGTAAATAGTTCTATTGAACAGAAAAGTGTTAGATATTTTGGGGGGTTTGCTGTGATTAACACTATGTATGCACTGGTCTGTCTTCAACTGCAATATTAAAATAATAATGAAGACCCTGATAAACAGTGCAATGTTCTGACTCCTAAACAGGACATAGGTGCCTGCAACTTTTTCCGGCTGGGGGTGGCTAATATAGGAGGAAGACAAAACTGGTATTTGGCCTAGAATTTGTGGCAAGGCAGAGTGATGGCACCATGAAACCCTTGTCTGGAAGCCTCCTCTCGAGTTTCCCCATGGCTTCTTCCACATTACTAGGATGAGAATTGGCTTGGAAGGACCACAGGACGGGGACTGAGTGGAAGTGCATGTCCAGAAAGCGATGCGGGCCAATCCTACCACCTCTTAAGACGACCTGGTTGCAACCGGATTCTGATGGTTCCTCCCTTGCCTTTCATAGTGAGAGTCCTGATTCCACCCATGGACCTTGCTTCATGTAATGCCTTCTTTTCCTGGCTCACAGCTCCTCACATCCATGCTACCCGAGCCTTCCTGGTGATGGGATGTTTCTGTGGCCTCCTGTCTCTCCTGTGCGTTTGCATCTCTTTCGAACGTGACCAGATATTCCACACATCTCTGACGATCACTGCGGCCGCCTTCAGTTTCAGTGCAGGTAATGCTGCTGCAGGGTTTTTTAAAACAGAAGGTGAAGGTCCAGGGTGCAATTCTCAGCATCTCTTAGGAGGAAACATCTGGACAGCCACTGTGATGGACCAGTGGTTTGGCATCAAGAAGCTTTCCAAGTCCTCTCCTTTGTTTTGCGTTCTCAGCCTTGGCTGTCTTCTTCTGTAAAGGCAATCCTTTCCCTCGGGATATGGAAGGTAGATTCCCACAAGCTCCTGCAGTGGGGAGACTTGTGGGATTGGTGGAAGCCCACCAATGTCCAGCATTCGTTGGCATGCTGCGTGGTTGGGCAAGGCCACACTAAGGCTAAGCATATTATTCTACAGCACTGGGAAGGAAATAAGACCCTAAGGATACACGAATGCATTCCAGCTCAATTGATCTTAGCCTCGAATGAGATTAGAGGTTGCTGTTACATGCAGTCAAGAAATCTCTGACATACCATGACCCTGTGAATGAGTGGCCTTCAAAATGTCCTGCCCTTGACAGCCCCGCTCAGCTTGTGCCAACTCCAGGCTGTGGTTGGCTTCCTTCATGGGATCGGTCCTTCTTCTTCTGTCTTTGACTTTCCCTAGCTTGATTGCCTTCTCCAGAGAGTTTTGCTTTCTCGTGATGTGCCTGAAATACAGCCTCAGTTGTTGTCATTTTTGCTGGTTTGATTTGGTTTAGGACTCATGTTGACCCAATGACTAAAAGAATGTATGTTTGAATCAATACAGGGGACCTTTTCTTGGACTGAAAGCAGGATAGTACAAAGCCAGTTCAGACTAGCAAAGCGAAGAGCATGTCATGGCCCCTTTAATGCATTTCTCATGATTTTGTGCATGTCTCCCATTTGTTATTATTTTATTTATATGCACAAAAGATTCACACTTTCAATGCACTATGAAATTTGGAGCGGGGGTAAATGTAACGGGGAGAGGAAGGGAATGGGCATTCAAGTCCGGCCTCTTTTTTGAGGGGGTGAGTGTATGCATGTCCGCTTCTTGGAGGCAAAAGCAGGGATGAAGTTATAGCCTGTCTTATATTAGCACATGAAAAATCGTATGGAAAGGTAAGGAAAAGGTACATCCCCATCACTTCCCCATCCTATCTTACCATAGGTTTCCTCAACTTGATTGCCATGTCTGTATTCACAGCCGTCCACAGGAGTTCCCAAGCTTACAGCCATTTTCTTCTCCTTTTCGGTTCGTCCTATGGGCTTGGTTGGGCATCTGTTCCTATGTATTCCATAACTGGTGAGTTCTGCTTTGTGGTTGCGGGTCAGAAAAACTTCCACAGGCTGAATCTCTTTCGCCACTTAGACATAAAGGTTACAGACTTTCAGGAAAGTGACATGTGCCTTCTTAGCCTTTGCGATTGTTGGTAGCCGCACGCGGCTTCTGGGACTCCTGTTCAGGGGAGTCTAGGGGAGTCCTTTTCTGTTGTCCTTCTGCCAGCAAGCAAAGACATTCCTGTTTCAAGATGCCTGGAAGCTGGTTTCTTGCCGAAGGCATTTTAATTGCCTGTGTGCTGTTTATTTGCTTTATTGTTGAACTTTCAATTGTATTTCTGTGTTACCTTTTCATTACGATTTTGTTTTACTCTCTGCTGTATTATTAGCTGCCTTTTAAAGCTGCATTTTATTGTTAGGTACTGTTATCAGAAGTTGCCACATAAGAGAGAAAGAAAGATTGATTTCTGAATTTGAGTTGTGGTTGCTTCCATATATTTTTAAAAAATGTGCATTGAAAATGAACAACAAACCAAAACATATTACAAGACTAGGCATCCTGGTGCTCTCCAGATGTTTTCGACTGCAACTCCCTGACCATTTGCTATGATGGATGGGAGATGGAGTCCAAAACATCCCCTTCCCCCTTCCTTGCACATCTGGACAGAAGGTTTTAGCCCTTAAGTTTTCCTGGTGAGTTGGTTCTTTGGCAAGTAGAAATTATTTCTGATATATGTTAGCATTCACAAAGGGGAATCGCCACCTGCCGTCAGAAATCTCTCACCCACTATACTATTTGTGGTCAGTCCGGAGCTCAGCGGCTGAACATTTGCTTTGCATGCAAAAGGTTCCAGGGTCAATTCTCACCATCTCCTGACTGGGCTGGGAAAATGCCAAGCTAAAAGCCTGGAGGGCCATTAGTCGTCCTTGTTGACATCACTGGGCTAAATGAACCAAGGGTTTGATCCCGTCTATTAAACCATCCTTTGCACGTGTTCTCCAGTTCACTATTCCTTTTTTGCATTTGCTGACTGGGTAGGGGTAAGAGAAAGGGCGTTTCTGCACATGAGCAGAGTGCATCTCCCTCATCTGTGATGAACCATAGGTCGCTCCTGTCTTCTGGGAATAGCATGTGTGGCTTTTAGTCAGAAGACATGGCTCCTTGGCAGGACTGACACAAAGGATGAATCGAAACCCCACGGAATCCATCCCTCTAGCATTCAAAGACTTCCTCTCATGTTCAGCCCCATCCTGAAAAGAGGAAGTCCACAAATCCTTGTGCAACTGGCAACCTCCTTCTGTGTCATGTGCAGTAGCACAAACATGCGATGCTGCTTTCTCAATGTTGTGGTGGGCTTGATCCCACGTGAGCACCGTGTGAACGCTGGCTGCCCTCGCAGAAACTCTGACTTGTGGTGGTGCCAGTGTGGACCAGAGCCTGGAGAGCTGAGCCCAGGGAGCCAGACGGATTCCCGCCCCAGAGCGGGTTCCTCACACACCCCTAACTGGCACCTTCCTTGTCAAAAACAGGATGTTGCTATCTCTGATTTTTCTGAGCTCTATTTTGGCAGCCCTAAAATATTGATCTTCTCTCTGCTCCCCACTCTAGGTATGCTGCTATTGCTGACACACCACATGACCATCTCTTAACTCTGGAAGTCTGCTCTTCCATGGAGGATCAAAGAGCCAATGGTTATCCCAGTTGTAGGGGTGTTTAAGTGTTCAACTTTGCATGTCATGGCCAGCTCACAATTTAACTATTGAGAAGGGGTTTCAGGACAAGTCCCGTTCCCTCCCTGACTTCCCCATTTGAATAAATCAAGACTTGCTGTGATCTCCCAATTGGGCAACTTGTGGTTTGGACAAATAATAATTTGCTTCTGCCACCAAATTGCACACCACGGTTTGAGCTAAGCTTCCAGCTGTAGTTTGGTGGCACATTATAGTTTGTGCGGGTTACCTATCACAACAAACTGCAGTTTGCCCAAGTCAAGAAGTGCAGAGGGAAAAGAAGGGTGAGTTTATGAGCCCGAACTCCATTTGCAGTAGCTAAACCCTCATGCCTGGAGAGAACGATGCATGCTAAGAGCGGCGGGTTCCTCTTGCTTAAAGGTGGGAGAAAAAAGACCTTAAAAATGAACAGTCATCCCTTGACTGAGTGGAGCTAAAAAGTCTCGGCTAGTCACTGGAGTAATCAAAGTCCCATGGGTCTACTCTATTTATGGCTAAATCTGGATCCAACCCCGGGTGTACACTAGTCCAATGGAGCAATTTATGGAGCAATTTATTATGTTCTAATAAATATGTGAAAAATATACTAAACTACTGTGATTTTTCATGCAATTGGAGTGCGATCATTATAAATCTCCAAACCTGAATGTTTCCAATGTTGCCCTGCATCTTCTCCAGGCAGCTGACTTCAGCCATCCAGATTCAGTGCCAGGAGGGAAACGGAAGTTGGTTGGATCGATTATTGATTTTTTAACTTTTTCTACCCAATAGGAAAAGCTCTCTGGGTGGTTTGGTGTAATTCTGCAGCCCAGCCTCCTCCCTGTCCCCGGAAGCACCCTTTTCAGTCCCTCCACGGTCCAGTCGCAACCACCAGGTGGCATCCAGTGTGATTCTTTCCACTGCAAGGGGACAAGGCAGGAGTTGCCCCTTGCAGTTGCAGCTCTAAGAACGTAGGACCTCCAGGCTGGGACTTGGAAGAATCCCATGACCTCCTAGGTGAAGTCAGTAGACCATAGGATTGTTCCTCAGGGCAGAACTGTGGTCTGGGGCAGAAACAGACTTTGGAAGGGACACATGCAAAACAGATCTGTACTGAAAACAGACAGATTTCTGCCAGGACTTCGGTTCTCAACTCTAGCTAGGCATGGGAACCCAGCCAGAAGGTATACAATCAGAATCTCGAGATGCAGATTAAACAAAAGGATTCAGGTTGACTGATGGTGCCATATTTTTTTAATGTGCAATTGCTCGTGAAAGCTCATAGAATTCATCAGCACAGAGTATTTACTTATTTGTAGTATCCATAGAGCCACCTTCAGCTGGAAAGAGTCCCAAAAGCAAATGTTTGCAAAAGATAGGCATTGATGTCAAAACATTAACCTTGAATGCATTCAGACTTTTTCAGTCCACTCATGTTTTTTCTTGATGCCTTGATTTAGAAACATAGAAACAGAGCGAGTCAGAAGGGGGCCTCCCAGGCCATCTAGTCTGACCCCCAGCTCCAGCCGGCTCCACTCACAACATGCCCACCATGTGGACGTCCAGCCTATCCTTGAACACCCGCACCGATGGGGCCTCAACCACCTCTCGTGGAAGCCCATTCCACACCCTCAGGGTTCTGACTGTCAGGAAGTGCTTCCTGGCATCCAAACGGAACCTTGGCTCCCTGAGCTTTGCTCCGTTGGAGCGCGTCCTGCCTTCCTCTGCAGGGGAGAACAGGTCTCTACCCGCCTCCATGTGACACCCCCTTACATACCTATATGTCACCAACAGATCCCCTCAGAGTCTCCTCCAGGTTGAAGAGACCCAGTCTCGCCTCATACGGCTTTCCCTGCAAACCGGCCACCAACCTTGTGGCCCTACACTGCACTGACTCTAACCTGGCTATATCCTTCCTGTAATGAGGGGCCCAGAACTGAGCACAATACTCTCGTTGTGAGCTCACCGGAGTCGTACAGAGTGGTAGTAATACCTCTCTCGATCTAGAAGCCACACTTCTGGCTATGCGACCAAGGGTGGCATTCGCCCTCTTGACCACCACATCACACGGCTGACTCATGTTTAGCCTGCAGTCAACCAGCACCCCGAGGTCCCTTTCACAAGTG